TCATATGGTGCTGCAAGTCCGTACTTCCATTTTTTTGTAAATTATAATTTTATAAAATAATAATAAAAATGTATTTATTTAATTAATGAATAAGTATCTTAAAGGGCTACGTTTACGTACACGGTACACCTTGTATAATTGTATTTATAGTGCAATATTAATATAGTGAACGAAAGAAAGATATGTTTTCACAAGCTTAATAAGAAAAATCGTTATAATAACAAGAATTTGTGATTTACCGGATATTAAATTTGTGTTTATGTATCTATATTATTGGCTTTAACAAAACAAAACAAAACAAAAAAATCTAGTATATTATTGGGTTTAATGCAAGAAGAGTAATACTACAAGGGTAATAGCATGGGAAAACACAATAATCAATAATGTATGGGCGATAGTGAAAGACTCAACAAAGACACGCACAACTTTATGCCTTCTCTTCTACACCGCTCCCTTTTTCTGTGCTTCAAAAAAGATTCGAAATTAAAATAGTCAAATCTACAATGCACAATTTTATTATTTTGTCTCTATGTAAAATGACAAAAATATTAGTTATTCTATTTTTATACTGCTCCCGTATCATTATAGATAATTTTCTATAATTTTTTTTTTATCAAATTAATTAATTTTTTAAGTTTTCAATACAAAATTAAATACATTTTTATTTCATATGACTTTTTGTATTCTGCATATTGATTTACTATTGGTTGAATTAAATTTACATAAATGATAAATAGTGTTTAAATTAAAAAAAAAAGTTAATATTTTTTTAATTTATGTGTAAAAACTTTAAAAATACTATAATAAATCTATAATAATATTCCATCCATTTTATATTTTGAAACGGATGAGTTATTGTTAAAGAAATTATAACTATGGTCTTAAATGTCTAATCATTTTATCATTCGACTTAACCATATTTTTTATGATTGCAGTTTACACAATACGATGCCGGATAACTAACTTTTTCATATTATATAGATAATAATTACAATTTCAACATTCAATGTCAGATATTTGTTTTTGTGTATGTTCCCTTTTTAATTGAAGATCAAGAAACAAATTATATTTATAGCTTTTTATCGCAATCTCTTGGACCAAAAAAAAAAAAAGAAGCTTTTTATCGCCATCTATGAAATTCTTTTCATGATATATAACGGTGGACCACAAAATCATATTTCATGGCACGATGCTCCAACAATATGATGCAACTAAATGTAAAATCTATTAGTTGGACTGCTCCACCTACGACACTACAAGAAATATCAACATGGATTCTCCAGCGACGACAATAACAGTCATCTCAGGCACCAGTCATCATCAAATTAATTTTGCAGGCAGCGACCTATCTACTTTGGCGCGAACGCAACTCACGCATCTTCACNTCAGAACGAGCAACAGCAACAACAATCCAAGCTCGGCTAGATCATATCACCCAAGACCGTCTTCTGTCATTCCCAGCGATTTCAACATCTACCTCATCTCTTCTTTTTTTCTATTTCACTTGTATTTCCTTTCCTTTTTAAGTTTTTTCTTCCCAAAACGCTCTCTAATAAGTTGTAATCAACAATGAAAAATCGAAAATGGTATAAATCTTAACATTTAGACCAAAAAAAAAATCTATTAGACAAATACTAAAATCTAGTAATATAATGTCTAATATATATTTTTTTTTGTCTATTTGTGCTGTGAGTTGTGAGAGACGGACACATAGGAAAAGGCCCACGTGGGTGCAAAGAACCTTCACGTTATAAAGTCATGGGCCTTAAGGGAATGGGCCCATCTTAAAAGCACTCAAATAGGACCCACAATTGTCTTTTTGGCCACCTTCACGTGCACTTCACGTGATGCCGCGTGATTCATGAACCTCTCTGTGTTATTTTGTCTCCCCCATTCTTTCGTGGCTGCTAGTACTACTACTTGTCGTTTTGTGCGTGAGAAAAAAAAAAAAACTTGTCGTTTTGTTTTAACTTTTTCGACACCTGTCTATTTGTCCTTGTGATATACCCTTCCTTCATATGAAAATTCCTTTTCGACAGGAAAATATCTTTACTAATAATTACAGTAAAATTGGGGAAGAAACATTTTTATCTCTCGGTTTGATTCGGTGTTTACATCACCAAGAATTTATTCGTTAAGTGAAGCAAATTGTTCGATTTGGTTTGATTTTCATACCAATACTAATATGAAATACATATAAACAAATAATTTGTTTTTTTGGGATAAATTCCTATAAGATAAGCCACACAAATACTTAGCTCTTAATAAAAAGAATCAAAGAACGCATGCATTCGTTTTATATTTATTTATTTAAATTTTGATTGCTTTTGTTTCGGTCAATTCATACAATAAAAAATTGTATTCATACACGATCAATTCATCATACAATTTTTTTTTTTGTAGTGATTAGCAAAACTTTTATATAAGAAAAACTCATCATTTGCTAGAAAAAAGGCTTTTGGTGTTATAAGATGTTTGTAGTGGTTCACATATTACAGTAAACTATACCAATATAAGCATGAGACCACTGATTGAACACAATAATAATATAACCCAAAGGCTAAAAACAGAGAAATCAAATCACACTGCTGGTTTGGGAAAGTTTTAAGTGGGAGAATGAGTTTAATACTTACGTGTGTGATTGATGTGAGACTCAGACTCAGACTCAGAGAGGTCAATCTAACACACCGTCCTTCAAACATTTCCCCATTGTCATTTTCAGCTGCATCATCTTTCTTCTCGCAGACTGTTAAACAAATTGCACCGTTACATTTGAAAATGATAATTTTAACATTTAGAGAATTTGATTGATTCTTAGGGGGAGCAGTCTGAAGAAGAAGAAGACTTGCCTTGTTGACAGAATCGATTCTTTTCGCCGCACTGTCCAGTTTTTTCTCGATGCCTCCTTCAAATTCCGCTATGAGTTTTTGGTGTGATGTTTCTGTCAACAAAAGATAACGTCAAAGTGATCTTAGGCTAATGTTTTAGTATATGTTATAGTTAAAAGCAAAGAGTTACAAAAGTGAACATACTTTGCTTCTTTAAGGCTCCTTTCAACTCTGAATGGTCTGTTTCAAGCCCTTCGATTGTACGCTTGAAATCTTCAAGATGATGCCCTATATCTTCCTTGAACTTTTCATGAATCATTCTCATTTTCTCTTGTTGCTCTGTAAATACCATCAGATTATCAGTCAACGCAGTAAGATTATGACGGATCCTACATATTCTTATGGAGACAATTTCAACACTCTAAAGTCAAAGCCATCAAACTGTGAACAATTTTGAACAGACAGGTGAATGATGTGTGTGTCTCTTCAAACAGAAATTAAGGATCCAGAATGAAGCAAGATTGTTACAACTTCAAGATTAAACAAAATCTACAGAGCAAGACTTTATATCAAGTTTCTGATCCATAACCCTGAATCAGGACTAAGCTGCTAAGATAGTAAATTTGAGTAAATAAAAAAGTTATTAAGCCTTTCTAATGTTCATGACTGCAAAATACCTTGTAATCTTGTTTCAGCATGCTTTCTCTTAGTTCTGGCTATGTTAATCGTCTTTCCCCTGTACCATAATTATTAACAATATCATTGATTGAAATCAAAAATACTAAGGAGCAATGCAGAGCAATTGAAGAAACATACGCTTCTGTTATGATGTGAGACTTCACATTCTCCAACTCTAGATGTATCTCCGAGGAGACTGATGCTATAATCTCTGAAGACTTCTTTTTGGCTCCAGATTTCAGTTTTTTCTCAAAGTTTTCAAGAGCCGAAGCAAACGATGCAACAGCCCTGCGACATGGTAAGTAATCAACTTAAAACGGGGATCGAAGATTTAAGGCAGAAACGTAATATTAATTACGTCTACAATATACCTTCCCAAGCCAACATCTTCATCCATCTCCGAAATATCAGTTTTATCGATCCCTGCTCAGTTTCCAGGACAAACAAATGAGGGTGTGGCATAAAAAGCCACAACAATGACATTCAAATGAGCATTATACCTTTGGATAAAGATGAGGTAGGACTTAACACGACACGTCCATTACCCTTAAGGTTTGAGTTCCGTTTAGCTGAGCTAAATCCATTACCCTTAAGGTTTGAGTTCCGTTTAGCTGAGCTAAATTCCCGCTTAGATTTCTCATTACTCCAATTGGCAGTTTCTCTTTCTTCCGGACCTGAAAATCAGAAGATCAATAAAATGAGCAAAACATGGATTTTGTTAACAAGAAAATAAGATCCTCCAGTTTATATATGGTCTAGGAAACAAAATAAGATGCATACTGTTGTAATGGCCCAACGCTGGTGATTCATCTCCTGAGCTTTCCTCATCAGACGACGGATCTGACATAACTAAATCTTCATTTGGCTTGGCAGAACGTTTTTTTCCGAAAGAAAAAACTCTTTTCTTCTCCAAGAAGTCCTGAAAATAAATAAGGAGACACAAAGGTCGAAGAGAAAAAGGTCAAGTCAACATGCATAAGTCTTAAGTGAAAATAATGCAGCTTGAGTTTATGAAGGTTACAGGCAATCTCCTTTCTGTATCTGACGCTTTGCCTGTTGTCCTTTGAGAGGTTTTCTTAGTACCAAAGCTAAATATTGGTGCCTCTGTCTCATCTAAAGTAGGACTAATATTCCGAGGATGCATAGGAGATGCTTCAGGAGAAAAACATGGGGAGGGACTTGAGATTGCTGCTTTATATCCAAAGGTTGGACTCTGGAATTCGTTTTCTGGCTCAGCAGACTTTTCCCTGCAAACATTACTCGGCCTTTCTTGTTTATCGCCATTTTTAGATAATCCATGGAACACCTCTGGGGTAGCTGCTGCTGTTTCAGCTTCTGGCGAAGGATAAAAATCTTCTTCCCTTGTGCTAATATCTGGTTTCTGTTTCTGCGCTTTTCTCTGTGGATTAAGCTCATGGGAACTTCCCTTTTTGTCTGAGAATGAAGACCTTTTGCCAGTTCTTGTGCTCTTGGAACGTGGTGGAGTTTTACTCTTGCTGGTCTCCCTCTGAACCTTACGGCATTGTACAACAGTGTTTTTTCCTCTACCCCTTGGTTTCTTCGGCATACCACTGGAATTCATAGCAGTGCCAATTTTCTCGCGCAAACCTTCTTCAAAAGAGAATATATTATTTACTTTTTCTGCGCTGGCACCAGCTTTGGTTTTCTTCTGGACACCTTTGTTGGCTCCTACCTTCCTCTGCAACAAAGATCTAGTTACTGGCCTTCTGGTTTCATTTTCAGGGCTTTCAGAATCAGTTTCAATAGAATCTGAATTGTGTCTAGGCTTAATAAGAGGATCATCATTAGAACCCTTGTCTTGACTCAACTTGGAGTTGGTCTTAACTACTTCTGGAGTCTCAGAGTTCACATCTTCATTATTTTCTGGCGAAGCTTTTCCCAATATTTCCCACAGTTTTGATCTCAAAGCATCACTAGTTCCATTTTTATCCTTCTCTGGTTTATCCATCTCCCCTCTATGTGAAGCAACCTTTTGCTGCAAGACTGCAGATGGAGGCTCTTCCATCCTCTCTGGACTCCTATCTATCCCTTTATCGTTCCTGCCACCGTTCAGCTCATCATCACTGCCCTGAGGATTCGAGACAGGAAATTTTTGATGTGCTGCTCCATTAAGTCCCTTGTTTAACCCTTTGCTACCAAGCAAACTAGACGCTTGCTTACAGAGAACATTCTCCAGAGTCCCCAGTTTCCGATAAGACGATCTCGGTGACCTCAAAGGTGAAGTCTCATGTTCTGTGGCCTTAGCTGCATTCCTCTGCTTGGCAGCTAAAACACCTTTATCTTTCTTGTTCGCCTGTAACTCAGTTACTGTAGCTGATTTCAACTTTTCTACTCTAGGAATAACATCTCCATCACCCTTCTTATCTGGACCAGGATTTCTCTGAGGTTGTGAATCGGCCATAACTCCAATAGAAATCTTTCTAGATTGACTTGATTGGTGATAGTTACTGCCGAAGCTTCTATATTCGCTCATCATTTCCTGAAAATTATCACCACATAGGTTAACCACTCTACTGGGTGATAAATCAACGAAACACCTTACTCACTCATGTATAGACCAAAATAATCACAAAACAATTCTGAATAACCTTACTATATCTAAGGCAGATTGCTAAAGCATTACAACACAGGCTATAATCGATGAGAATTTCAAATATACAACCCAGAGAAATAACACACCGATCAGAACAGAATCATTTCCAGATTTTCTTAGACCAACCTCAATGATAGAAATACCCAGCAAAAGACGGTGCTAGATCTGGGAAAACTAGAGGAGAAAAACAGATAATAGACGCCAAATTGAAACAGAGTGTATTCAATCGGAAAAAAGCTAAGATAGAAGAAAACTTAAGATATTCGAGAGAAATGATACGAGATTAGCAGACCCTAGTCATGTTATTTCTAGCAACTTAATCACATATTTCTAGCAACAAATTTCAAACAAATCATATCGGATTGGGAAATCGAGACGATTCATCTCCATACAAACGAAATGGGAGATAGATCGCACACAATTTTCACTGAATCAGCCATGAATCGAAAACGAAATCGAAGAAACAAGAGCGGAACGGTGAAGAATCGCTTACTCAAAAGCTCGAGTGTTGTTGAAATGCGAAATCCCCGACTCCTGATTCCCTTTGTAGAAATAGTGAAGAAGATCGCCGGGAAATTCACTGAAATCTGATCTGAGAAAACTGAGAGATGTAAGCAGAAATTTCGAAATCTCT